TGAAAAAGTGCTCTTTTTTCAGTGAAAACAGGCAAAACGTGCTCTTTTTTCAGTGAAGCATAGCCATGATACATGTTCAGATATGAACCCAAGCTGAGAAATGAATACGCACTCTTCCATTTATGGGTCCACGAAAGGCAAAACAGGAAAACACCCACTTTTTACAGCATTCTGTACACCGGGTACAAGCTTCACCAACTTGTCGCCCCCCCCCCCCCCGAAAATGCGGCGTGCCAAGGCCCAGATCGAGCACTCGGAAACTGTGACCGCATGCATGAGCAAACAGATTTTAGCACTTTACAAGCTAAAAAAGCTCAAAAAGGGCGATATTCACCAAAAAACGCAATAAAGGGCGAAAGAAACGGGCTTTTCCAAAGAGGGCGAGCACCTTTGGGAAAGGGCTACCCCCCCCCCCACCCCCCCCCCCCCCCCACTGCTCCTACCTCCCAATCTCTTGCAAGCTTCTTTATATTCAGCCTACCTTCGCCCAATAATCGATTATGCCGACACGTCTTGGGCTGGAGTATCCTCGTCCACTGCTGCAAAGCTTGAAATACACCACAAGAAAATCCTTAAAATTCTCCTCCGTCAACCCCGCATGCTCTCATCATCCGCTCTTTATAAACTCGCTCACACAACTCCGTTATTACATGGACGCAGTGCACACTTGGCTGCTCTTGTCCATTCGATTAAAAGCTCGAGTTGTGCCCACCTCATCTCATGTGTTTTTTGGTCCCCTTCTCTAAGAACTAGGGATTCGCCCTTTCTCCCCAAGTGTAACTTATCCGCCTTTTTGCGCTCCTTCCTCCCTTTATTGCTCTTTCTGTTTGGCTCACTCTTCCCAGGGTTAGGGATATGATCTCACTCCGCCTGTAGAAGGACCGTACCGCCTCGTATTTAATATGACATACATGTAAGTACATGTAATTCGAAACTCGGGTATTGAGCCAATAATAAATGTAGAAAAGAAAAGGACATATGGAAACGAGTTAATTAAGAGTAACTCTCCACCACTGTAACTACATGTAGATACTATATACTTTCTGACTGTATATAGTATCTAGTTACAGTGGTGGAGAGTTACACTTAACTCGTTTCCATATGTCCTTTTCTTTTCTACATTTTTAAAAGTACATGTAGTTCATTATTTATTTATTTATTTATTTTATTTTTTCACCTTCCCGTGGCCCGTGGCCAGGGAATATATGCCAACATGGCGGGAGGGGGGCAATAGCCATGGCAGTAAGCAAAAAACAATGCAGGAAAAAAACAATGCAAAAATGACAAATTACGAGAGACAATAACCTACACAGGGCGAGGCAAAGAGAAATAAATCTGAATGAAGAATTAGCAGTTATTAGAACATTAGCTTCATGTTGAACTTTGAACTTGATTATCCACATGTCATTTGCATCTCTGTTGCTTTTAGCTCTTTCCCAAAGGTGCTCACCCTTTTTGGCCCTTTTTGGAAAAGCCCGTTTCTTTCGCCCTTTATTGCGTTTTTGGTGAATATCGCCCTTCTTGAGCTTTTTTAGCTGAAAAGTGCTAAAATCTGTTTGCTCATGCATGCGATCATGACACAGTTTCCGAGTGCTCGATGGGCCTTGGCACGACGCTTTTTTGCGGGCAACAACAAGTTGGTGAATCTCTTACCATGTGTGTAGGACTTTTGCCAGCACCCTCGTGACGTTGCAGATTTTTTTTACTAGAGCCACGTAAACCCGTCATGTGTGAGCCATGAATAAGGGGAGTGGTGGCGTGGTCTGGGATGCTCTGCCGACCTTGGGTCTCGGCTTCATCACAACCAGGCGCGCCAATAGCAGAGAGAGAAAGAGAGAGAGGGAGAGAGAGAGAGAGAGAGAGAGAGAGAGAGAGAGAGAGAGAGAGAGAGAGAGAGAGAGAGAGAGAGAGAGAGAGAGAGAGAGAGAGAGAGAGAGAGAGAGAGAGAGAGAGAGAGAGAGAGAGAGAGAGAGAGAGAGAGAGAGAGAGAGAGAGAGAGAGAGAGAGAGAGAGAGAGAGAGAGAGAAAGAGAGAGAGAGAGATAGAGAGAGAGAGAGATATGAGGCTTGATTATTGTAGTTGAAGTTGATTTAGCGACTTTGGCAAGTTTGAGTCGTGTCAAGAAGTCAGGTAGGATTCAGTACTAGGCAGTGGTGGAACGTGAGTGGTAGTCTTTGCCGATTTTGGAGGGTATCCTGGATTCGGTTTGAAGCGCTGTGGAAATGGCTTGCTGTGGAGGTCCCAGCACTTGATGTTGTATCAAAGGTACGACCTCGTAGCACGCCCTGAACCTAAAAAAATTCAAAAATTGACTTGGGTCTGTGGGAGTCTATGACAGAACGCCCCCCTCCTGCCGTTGTGACAGATTCCAGGGCCACTTTGAAGGGCCCTATCCCACCACCCATGGCTGCTTCTGGACGATTTTTAGGTTTGGATCCTGCGCACGGACAGAATTGGCTAGAAAATGTGAAAAAATTGTAAATGTATTTGTTTGGCTCCTGGGTGGCTCGCCAACCGTGGCGGTGCAAATTTCACTCAAATCCATTGAGAGACACCAAAGTTACGGTCAATTGAATGCCATATGAAATTGAGGACCAGGCTGCTACCTTAACGGCATCAAGGCCAAACAACTTCCAGAATAGAGAGGCATGCTGGGGTATGGGTGTAAGGAGTTGGTGAAAATGGTTCCCAGCCACATTCTCAACGCTGCAAGGGTGATATTGGCCCACTCTCTGGCATAAGCAGCCTCCTCAAGACAAACATCAGCAGCTCCTTGATAAAAATACAAAATTTGTTTGTGTACACGCTTCCTGAAGGCATATCGTCAGTTATGTACAACAAGAATAGGAACAACGGTGAACTGATTTGTTCAGGAGACAGGTCCTCCCGCAGGCCTGGGGTACCTGTGAACTCAGGCAAGTCGTTCGGTGGCATCATTTCACTCCATCCTATGCCAATTGCATGTTCACGTCTACTCTCCGTTCGGCTTGTTCCAGTAGTAGCGTTGTTAGTTGCTGGAGCAGGGGGGGACAGATTCTTGTGGACTCGCCAGCAGTTCATCGTCGCTCTCTGCTTCAACATCAGGCGCAAACTCTACATCATTACTGCTCCCAGTGGCCTCAGCAGCCTCAGCAGCCCCAACCTCCATCCTCAAACCAAAGCCTTGAACAACTTTAAAAACAATATCCGCCAACCGAATACCTCCACCTGACAAAACTATAACTTCGTTTGGCCAACAGCCTGTTATCGCCTAGGCCGGATCACGTGGACGCCATTCTGGCCATGGGCAGTTGTTTCCGTGGTAACAGGGAAGAGGCAAACTGCACCATCTTATTGGCCTCGGTGTCTGTGTTAGTAGAGCCAGCTCTGAACAGCCACATCACCAACCCTCTCGAAGACGCCAACCTAGCCTGGCTCAGCATTGACCATGGTGTAATGTCTGCAGTCACAGTCTCATACATATCCTTGACTGTCAGATGAATCCGGCGTTTACACGCTAAGTTCAACTGTCACTCACTGGCAACAAAGTGCCATGACAGCACTCTTTTTTCTTTTCTTTTTGCCGTCAACAACAATTCTGCGTCCACTTTACCACCACCACACTTGCGCTCTGCGGCCGACCACGTTCATTCCCCACTATATATCCCCCCGATAGGCGTCCGCCTTTGGGTAATCCTGAAATAAAGATTATTATTATTATTACATCAACTTCAAGTGCGGAGTGCTGCTGCTTACTTTCTTCTTAGTCAACAACAAACCATAATTATATTTTGGGCCATGACAGTACTAGATGATCTTGCACCATTCGTCAGCCTGAAGCGCACAGCTTACTCCAAACCCCCGTCCCCAGCCCTGGATCACCCGAGAGCTGAAACAGGTTATATCCTCGACGAAGCTCTGCCCGTTGCGCTTCAATAAAGCACCCCATGGATGACCACCTCAGACAACAGTATCGGGCAATACGTCCTCAAGGAACCCTACTAAATCCAGCGTAAACTGAAATGTGTGCACTACAAAGATTGGTTCAGGGCCGCAACAGGCAATCCTACTTGAAGTAGACTTCAATGGGTAGAGCTGAATCAACTAGCGGTTAAATTAACTGGAAGGAGAAAATCCCACCCCATGCCGAAGGCCTCGCTCTCATCTTTGTAAGATACCCTCAGCAATATCGTTCATGATGAACACCGCGCTGTTCTTACGACCCCAGATACTCGGGCGGAGGAATGTTTGGGCAACTGCCTTCTCGAGTTTCAACCAGTGAGTTACTTCAAAGTACAACAGAAGCAGTAACGAAGTTAGTTTCTCGAACGGGTGAATGCCAAGAAAGCATGTGGATCAGACGGCATGCCACTTGCCAGCTACAACACTACAGCCAGGACGGGCGGAGTGTCACCTCGTGACCATGGTGACGTGAGCACCAGATCGGCACCCAACACCACATGCGCGGTCAGTGCAGTAGCCAAGGTGACACATCTGCAGCTTCAGTGGATGCGCACGTGCACATTGTGAGAAAGGTCGAGAGTGTCGTCAGTGCAGTGGGCCATGAGTCCCATGACGCCATGGGGACCACGGCCTCCAAGGAGTCGCGCGAGACCAGGCCGACCCAGGCCGAGGGAGTTGTGCCTTGCGGCAGCTCAGCTGTCACGACTCCCCAGCGCGCGCATGCTATCATGCTCGCTAAATTTAGTAGCCTTTATTATGTTCGTAGATCTACATCATATTCATTGCCTTTTTGACATTTTTACAACAGGTAGACCGACCGACAAAACACGTCTTCACTCAGTCAGTCAGTCACTCAGTCAGTCACTCAGTCAGTCAGTCAGTCAGTCCGAGGATCATGCGTGCACGGCGCGGATCCAGTCGGACGACACAACGTCTGGCAAAGATCAGTGATTTATCTGATTTCTGCAATGACATGTAGATGTACATGCCAATGACTATGCATGAGTATGAATATAGCCACGATCGATAGTCCTTGAAGCCAGAATGAAGGTGTGACGATGGCGGAGGACCTCACGTTGCCAGCGTCTATCTTGAAGGCGCAGAAGCTGTTGCGTGATGCAGCCGAGGATTGTGGCGTGCAGATCAGCGGAGGCTTAGGAACGGATAGTGAAATTGCTTTGAGCGAGCTCTTTGTCAATCTTACTCTGCTGACGAAGAGTGAAGTAGGAACACTTTTCAAGAGCGAGTCATTCTTTTCCTCCGAATCTGAGAGAGCACGCCAGCTTGCTGCTATCAGAGTAGCGCAGGATGGAACGCCTTCGAAGACACGCGGTGTTGAGCTCAGTGAGATCTTCCCTGACTCAAGTAGCGATAGCGCAAAGGACCAAGCAGGTGCCAGCGAAGTAGTTGATGCCGAATGTGGACTGCTTGCTCGCGCAGCTAGCGATGTGTCCAGCGCTGGAGCGAAAAAGAAGAACGTGCTGGCATTTGGCAGCGCTGGCAGTGGCAAATCAACGATCTTCCTTCTCATGTTGGAATACCTGTGGGCTACACGTTCGTTGTGGAAGGAGAAGATTGATCTTGTCTTGGCTGTAGAATTACGACATGCCAAGGTGCGAGCGGCAACTAGCCTGTCTGAGTTACTGGAGCGGCGGTTCGCTAATTTGAACATGAAAAAAGACGAGCTGTTGGAGATGGAAAGTTACTTTTGCCGCCATCCGTCACGTCTTTGTGTTGTTCTAGACGGCATGGATGAATGCAGCCTGCAGGAATGTAGTGAGTATATGCAAGCCATGCTGTTGAGAAGGAACAATGTTGAGATGCATGTGGTGGTCACATCTCGACCCTGCGCTGATGCATACAGGCTAAGCCAATGCGGAAAGTACCACCAACAGCTGGAGGTTGTCGGATTCTCACAAGAGAACGTGAAGACGTACGTGAGAAAAGTGGTGGGTGGAAAACAAGCGGAGGAGATGCTGGAGAAGCTGCACGCACAGCCGGACATGCTAGCACTGATGGGAACTCCGTTATTTGCTGCTCTGGCATGTGAGCTGTACTGCTGTGGCCGTGGCTTGGCGAAATCGAGCACGGCATTGTACGAGTCACTACTTCTACGTGTCCTGGAGCGGAATGCAGGAAAATTGTACAAGTCGTTTGCCGAGGCGGATGCACAGGAGCTGGAGCTGCTGAACGAGGTCTCCCGCTTTGCACTTGCAATGCTGTCGGTGCAAAAGGCCGTGTTCAGCGAATCGGAAATGAAAAGCGCAGGTCTAAGTGATGCCGCTCTTCAGCTTGGACTTCTGATCGCTTACAAAGACGGCAGCTCGACGGAAAACCGACAGTACCGCTTCGCTCACCTGTCCCTACAGGAGTTCATGTCGGCATGGTATCTGTCACGTGAAGTGCTGAAGGACGAGCATGACGCGGCGTGGCTGGTGAAGAGAGTCGGCCATTACAGTGGTCACATGACAATGTTCTGGCGCTTCGTCATCACACTGCTACCGCGCAAGGCCTCGTTCGTCACCATGGAGCATCTCTGGCACCTTATCTGTGGGCAGCGTATAGCGTCGACATCGGACGCTGCTGACTCTCGTCTTGTGGCGGACATTGTCAGCTACTCCCATCCCAAGTCTGCAAGGCCAGGCCTTGAAAGGATGCAGACCATGCTTTGTGCCAGCCTGACGTATGAGAAAATGAAGGAACTCGCCGACAAGCTGCTGGAGGAGACGTGCGGTGAGGGCAACGGCTGCCAGCGTGTCGAGAGCGCCTTGCCGCGGGGCAGAGAATTAACAGACGAACTATTCCTGTCAACTCTCATCGATGTGTGGAAGAAGGAGGCAGTGGATGCCGACACGGAAGTATTCCTCGCTGCTGTGCGCAACGTCAATCCCGTCGTGGCATCACAATGCGAGCGTATGATGCTTCCACGCCCCAATGTGTCGATTCCATCGTCAACCGAGGACGGTATTGCTACGGATATGCCTGAAGTCCGCCCAGCGGAGTCCGAGAAGGAAGAGCGCTATCTGGTTCATCTTCTGGTGGCTCATCATGAACACTGCCAGTATCAAGGTGCGTCCGATCAAGGTGCGTTCTGTGATGGTCATTGTTCATTCTTTTCACAAGTGTTTTCTAAAGGCATTCGCTTTTGGTCTACACAGCTATCTCTTTTTGATTGTGTTTCTATTGGGCACTTTCTCAAGACGCATGTTTGCTTTGATAGCAGTGCATTTCACATCGCTAATTCTGGCTGTGGCAGCGCTGGTCTGCAAAGCATTGCTGCTGGTCTGTCGCACTGCACGAGTGTGCGCATGCTTACTCTTGCCAAGAATGGATGTGTTGATGGCTGTGTTCTGTCGTCCATCATTCTGTCTTTGTCCGGCAGTCTAGAGATTGTCAATTTGGGTTATAATGTATTAAGTGCTGATGGTTTGGTATCAGTCTGTCGAGCACTGTCTTCTTGTTCTAAGCTGAGGGAAGCCGATGTATGCTACCCCGCCTTTCTTCGTAGTCAAGATGTTCCTCTCTCATGTGTTAGCGAAGTTTTCGAGTCATGCCCTAACCTACATAGGCTGGATCTAGAGGGTTGTAGCTTCCAGTGTGATGATGATTGTGTGGAAAGGTTTGTGGGAGCCGTTCAGTCCCATGCTGTGCTGGAAATTCTAGGCGTCACACGCCATTATCAGAATGCCCGATTCCTGTCCAGGCTTGATCAGCTAGTCTGGGACCCCACCTGTACCCTTACTACAATCTTGAATACACGCATAGTAGCTGTAGCTGACTAGGCTTCTTATTCGTCCCTCGAACCCAGACCAGGAGCAGCAGCAAAGCCTACACGGTGTTTTTCTTTTTTTTGCCGATCTAATGTACATAGAGAGGATATATCGGGCTGCCGACGAACTTGAATTTCTATTTTTTCTATTGAGTATTGCTTGAAATAATTTCTAAGTTTGTACTACTCTCTAGCACAGCCACATAATCATTAGAGTGAACTTTTTCTTGGTTGGTCTCTTTCCACATATTTTTTGCTACAAAATCCTCATATCTCCAGACACTGGGGTGAATAATGGAGTGTGGTGGTGGGGCCCATTAAGCTCCGCCGACCAGAGGTCTCGGCTTCATAGCTCCATGGACATATAAATGAATTAAATGGCTATTGCGTTCCGTTAGGCGTGTGTGTATATACATGTACAAGTATGTGTGTGTGTGTATGTTTGTGTTTGCTTGAGTGTTTTCGCTGTTCATTTAATATTTTGGTTGATTATTCTTGGTTGCAATGTTACCTTCAATATTAGCAATGTTGTAAGATATCAAAGTATTCTCAACCCCAGACTTGCCCTCGTGACCATCAAAATAATGCTGATGCTGTCCTCGCCATTGTGTGCCACTGGGTTGCTTGTGTGTGCATGTGTACTTGTATGTGTGTGTGTGTGGGGGGGGGGGGGGGTGAGTGGGGGATTCACTGGCCAGAAAAAGTCACTTAAAATAGCTGTATGGTGTAGACCAGGCTGAATAGTGACGGTCAATTCTTCAGCCTTGCAAGCTGTTGAATGGTGCAATCTCAGCACAATTTGCTTTGGCTTCTGCCGTAGCATTGCTATCATCGCCTCCGGCGATGGGCGTCAAAGGTCAGGTGTGTGTGTGTGTGTGCCAACAGCCAGTGCACGGTGGAGTATGTAGTGTTGTACGTATTTTTAAAAAAGAAGTGAAAATAGGGGTTCGTTGGCCAGAAAAGCCACTTCAACCACTGGGTGGTGTAGACCAGGCTAAAATCAATGGCGGGCAATTCATCAGCCTTGCAAGCTGTTGAATGGTGTAATCCCTGCACAAGTTGCCATGCCTAAATAACATGGCTTGTTCGCTAACATCTCTTCAGCGATTGGCAGGAATATGAGCATGAGTGTGTGTCAATGGTCATCAATACTTCTAGTGAAGATTATATTTAGATCCCCTCTGATTTAGCCACCTACACCAGCAGCATATATTGCCTTCACTGGGGGGGGGGGGGGTAAATGCACTTGGATCGCAGGGCGGATACCCTGATACGAGGGAGGTTCCGGAGTACGATTTTTCGTGCCAAAATCCGTAGAGGCGCTACTACGGATTTTTATACGTCGTTTTCGAGCAGTGAAATGTTCCGGAGTACGGAACTTACCGGTATGTGTTTGCCGTCATTGCCTAGGTTACGATCCCAAACACGTCACATTCCCGCGCTATGCCTTTTTATTTTGAAAATTTGTACCGAAATCAAAACTTCCCGCGGAAAGTCCATGTTTCTCGTACCAAATTTGTACGCGAAAAATCTTTCTGCACCCGATGACGCAAAATCTCCATACGAAACATAGGGCATGTTCGATTGGTAAGGATCGGGATCGGGATCCAGATCTCAGATCCTTCGGATCCTTCAGATTCAACTGAACACTTTATTTTGGACCTTGAGTGTTGCCATGTTGACAATGGCGCTCACAAGTCACCCAAAAGGGTGAACGTCGTACTCATCGCGTGCGTCGTACCAAAAGTCAACAAGCTCTATCTCTATCCACGTGTGCGTACCACAATGTGTACAAAAATGATTTTTACCCGCCATATACGCACAAAGGTCACATTTGGATCCGTTGGATCCGGTCAACCCTGCTCCCCGAGGTGGGTTGACCGGATCCAAATCCGAAGGATCCGGATCCGGATTCGACCAATCGAAAGGGTGCGAATCCAGTGGATCCGGTGGATCGGGATCCCGATCCTACCAATCGAACATGCCCATAGTTCGTGTGAAAGCCAGTCCACACGGATTCTCCGTGCCGAAAAATCGTATGGAGCTCGCCTGGAAAAAATCCGTAGCGCCCACACGGATTTTGGCACGGAAAATCGTACCCCGGAACCTCTCTACTGTCAATCCGTTTTGTCCTCGCCCACTGGCTGAGGTATTGGGAGCCCGTAAGTGGGATCATATCCAAGTTCACCCATCATAGTTTGGGGATTTCAGGTTGTGTACAATGTACTAGTAGGCCGTTGGGCGGTTCAATAGCCAATTTAGTCATCTTTCCAAGATTCCTTTGGAAAC